TCTACCTCTACTCCTCTTAACTCCTGTTTTTACTTCTAGTATGTCTCTAAATAGCCCTCCATGCCTCACAATTTGTCCTACCACCCTATCTCACCTTGTTATTAAGTTACTTCGATAGTGTCCGACCGAAAGTTCGGTTTCGGTCGAGTTTCGGCAAAAAAAAACGAGTTTCGGTTTAGTTTCGGTTTCGGCGGCAAACCTGCCGAAACTACGACCGAAATCGAAACTGCGTTCGGGAGTTCTCGCGCTCTGCTCGGTCATGTTCGGCGCGTTAAATTCCATCCAAGCAAACAATAACAAAAGTAATTTTATGTTTAATATTATATAAAAAAAAGCATGAATAATCTTCAAAAGAAAAATGAGTCTAGTCTACTATACTTACTCAAATAAACATCTCACCTATTTTAAGTATTTTTAAGGCGCAATTAAAGTATTTCCTTAAATGAGGGGTTGTTATGTTGATTTTGATTTGATTATCAATAAGTGAAAATGTCAAAGACTGCAGAGCTATGTGATTTAAAGATAAAAAAATAAAACTGACTGATTATAATAACGTTTTCTTTATTTTTCTCTCAAAACATGATCCTTATAAGGAAGTTTCGGTTTCGGTTTCGGCCGAAACTGAGACCGTTGCCGAAATTCGGTTTCGGTTTCGGTCGTAAAAACCAGTTTCGGTCGGACACTATCCTTCGACTAGAGGGTAAATAATGCGGAAGGCCTTCCGTTTAGAAATCGTGGTAATGAGTAGGTGGTGGTTGCGGTAAGAAAGTTGAAGACAGAACAGACTGAAAGATTCATCATCTTAAAGTCGTCAGTCCTAAGTCTGGATGGACTCCACTCTTTCCTACCCTGCGCTAATCTTCGCATTTCAGTAAAACTGGAGTATTTGTGAACAGTAATCTAATCCAGACCTACCTCTACTCCTCTTAACTCCAGTTTCTGCTTCTAATATGTCTCTGACAAGCCATTCATGCCTGAGACAATCCTATCTCGCGTAATTCTTATTGTTTTCCATAAAGTCCTCTGTTCTCCTATTCTTTCTAATACTTCCTCGTTTCTAACTTTCTCTATCCACACTATCCTCATCATTCGCCTATAACACCACATATTTCTAACGCTTCTAACCTTTTTTTTGGCGCCCACCATTTATGTTTCGAGTTAAAGAAAATTTTTGCTTTATAATAAAACATTTTAGTTTCAATTTTGGCTTCGAAAACATCGCTTCTAAATATACTACTGTTATTAAGCCCACCACTAGCCCTTGCAATGGAAAGGTAAAGACTAAGAAACAGAAATAGAAAAATTGGAGTGAAAAAATTTGAAATAAATGTAAAACAATATGCACGTCCAGGAAATAAAGAAAAATTCCGAGTTAAAGAGCACTTCCGAGTTATAGAAGTTAGAGTTACAGAAGTTCGACTGTATATTACATAAATAATACTTACTGAATCTACTCAATTTCAATATATCTTTTGTTGTAGAATATTCCTCATATCTATCGTTAATAAAAAGAAAAACCAAATAATTATGAAGAATATTTTTTTCCTAACGATTTTACCCACGATAAATGTAAACAAAAACGAATCACCTTGTATAAGTAATGACTTTTTTATACTGCCATAATTAATTTATGTTAATTTTAAACAACAAATAAGAACAAAAAATATATTTTGTTTTGAAACTTGATATGGAGAATATGGATTCAAAATTTGATCACTCCAGGCAGTAAAAATAGAATAATTAATCGAATCTTACAGTAGAGGTATATAACAAACAAATAATCGATTATTTTATTGATTAAGAAAACAGTGTTGTTATAAACTCCTTAATAAGCTTTTTTCAAATTAATATGTAGCTTTAAAGGTCATATCTATGTATTGCCTAAACTCCTGAGTCGAGAGACTTGAAATATTAATACAACGTAGGTGGGCAAGCACTAAGAAAGAAATTTTTAAAATTCAACCCCTAAAGGGGTGAAACATGGGTTCAAAGTTTGATTTATCGATTAAGGCACAGCCCGAACCGCAGAAATTTCCTGTAACTGATTACATTTAGGACTTCAGGAGGTTCGAGAAGTGTAGACTAATTTGTTCAAGTTGCTATCAAATAACTTCCTAACTAATATTATTAATGCGAACGTAAGTTTGTACGTTACGTTTTCACGCCTTAACTACTCAATCGATTATCATGAAATCTTGTAAACATATTGTCATCACCATCATAGATCGTCAGTCCTAAGACTGGTTGGACACGCACCTCCACTCTTTCCTATTCTAAACTAGCTAAACTTTCCCTAAAACTAGAACAACCCACATCCTTAACTATTTGCGAACAGTAATCTAATCTAGGTCTACCTCTACCCCTCCTAACTTCAGGTTCTGCCTCTAATATGTCTCTGACTAGACCTTCATACCTGAGAAGGTGTCCTACCAACCTATCTCGCCTATTATTAACTTCCATAGAGTCCTCTGTTCTCCTATTCTTTCTAATACCTCTTCATTTCTAACCTTTTCTATTCACGTTATCCTCATCATCCGCCTATTTCCAACGCTTCTAACGTTTTCTTTTCCGCCGCGCCCACTATCTATGTTTCGCACCCGTACAACGCCGCGCTCCAAACGTACACCTTTAACAACTTTTTTCGTATGTCTAAATTAAATTAACCGTTCGCGAGCATAGAAGTGACTTCTTTTTGTACATATTGTCAGGATTACAAAAAAGAACATAGGGTACTTTTCATCTAGAAAAAAAAACTAATCTCATGGGATAGAAAAATTAATTTTTTGTGGTCATCGATGATCCTTGACACGTATATTTAAGATATCAAAGGTAAACGATAGTATAGTATAGTATATGCGGATTTTTATTAATAATATTAATTGTAAGTTTAAATTAATCACTCGGTACACAACGTCTTTATTATATTGAGATTATTAATAGTAAGATTAATTAACTAATAATTATTTGAATCAGTTTCAATATATAATATGTAACAAGTATTTAACAGATTCACACTTTAACACCCTGTACACGACGTAATTAATTAAATTCTTCAAAAACATCACAGTCGTATCATTAATTGTTTTATTAATTACGAAAAGATAAGCGTTTTCTTTTCAAGAACTCCTGACCCCCATTTGAGTACATTTCAAGTTGAAATAAACAAGGCTGTCATTTTCTTACAAAAATGTCTCAAATAAAAATTTATAGAAACAATAACTTATACTTTTTTACTTCTTTTTTCTTACAATGAATAGTGATATATTGACGTATTGAATAAATAATAAATAAGTACTAAAGAATAAATAATAAAAAATTGATAAATGCAGTCCTTTGTACCAAAACAATTAAAATTTATCTAAAAATAAGATAAGGGATTGTCGGAAAAATGACCAATAAAAAAAAAATAGTAAACATGCATGTGGTATATTAATACATTATGGTTGTTAAAATTCGTTAAAGGCATGGGCAGTAATTAAACGGTTAAATGATTTTGGCCTAATTTCAATGCATAATAAGGCGGCATTTTGTTGTTTACGAAATTTCCGATAACAACGCCCAAAAACCGCGGAGGAAGAAAAATTAGGTCATACTTTTTTAAAGGAAATATGACTCATAAACAAATAAAAAAAAACTTTTATTCTAGGTAATCAAGTTTTTACAAGAAATTTTCATTTAACAAAATTAGCTAATATAATTTTCTATTGTGAAATACGATAAATGGAATGAAATTATACTTGTGTAGTTTTCTTTTTTTTTTTCTTAATTTGTTAAACGATTCTAGGTCGTACAAAAAGTTTACAAGTCAACTTAAAATAGTTTAGAAATCAGTAAATGAAAATTCCTGTTTCGAGATAAGATATATAAAAAGGTTATCCGTACACATATTTCCGTTAAAAAGATTTGTTTAAGTTATTCAATGCCCTACACTATAAAGAAATGTTTTTTTTTAATCATTTACCATAATCTGAATTGTTTTTATTGTATGTACAACAGCGTACATTAAAAATGATCATCTAACCTACGATTCATTTGTTAGTTACAAGTTAGTTATTCAACAATAACAGCAAACTACTACAACAATTCTGTGAAACAAACAACCTACAAATTTAACAGAGGAAAACAATGTTGGTAACTAGCAGATTGCGTTCATTTTCATTGTGTGCAACTGTACCTTTTTGTACACAAAGTATATCTCAGATATAAACACACAATAGGTATAATAACAGTGGAAAATAGTAAACTAAAAATATAAACCGCGTCGGTTAATTTTATTTGATGCAATTAACCGAATATGTAGGAACATGTCTCACTAATTGGGCATGAAAAAAAATAAATAAGTAACGCAACTTTTAAATGCTACAATTTTCCAGAACTTTCTAAAAATACGAGTATATGAGCCAAATAAACATGTTATTAGAATTTTTTTTTACAATGTTTACCGCATTTACTGATTAAACTGTCTTTATAGGTATTTTTTAATATTTCGCAAAAAATATTATGCGTAACCATTTATATTTTTATTTTATCGAAATGATAAAACTAATATCTTTATGTTAATTTTAAACAACAAATAAGAACAAAAAATATATTTTGTTTTGAAACTTGATATGGAGAATATGGATTCAAAATTTGATCACTCCAGGCAGTAAAAANATCTATCAAAAATCTGTTTAGTTTGAGACTTTTATATTTCAAAAATTTTCATTCCAAACAAACAAAATGTTAGTAGATATTAAAATCCCCCTTTCGTTCATGTTTTGCAGTGGAAAGCATTATCTTAATCAGTATAATTATTTTTTATAATTGTCTGTCTACTTGAAGAAGCACTTAAAGTCATAATTATTGATTAAAGATGACAATCACTCATAAGTATATAGTTTTTATGCAGAATTTATCTTTTTAATTGGTATGGCAAATAAAACCTCATTTTTGACATGTTTCACTCATTGAAAATGTGGTTGTTTTATAAAATAGTGACAAACAGAGTAAAAACTCACCTCTGACTTTACACGTACTGGATGTTCATCAGATTCTGTATGGTCTCCGTCAGCATTAGCATTTTCTTCTTCCCAAGGCAAGTCATGATCACTGCTCGACATGGCATCATTGGAATAGCCCTCCTCATTATTACTTGTAGTTGCTGATATTTTTGGTGCAGGAAAATTAGGATCATAGTCATCTATAGGAGGTCTTCCCCTTTTTCGTTTTGCAGGTGGTTCGCTTTTAGGGCTTTCCATCACAGTAGACACATGTGGTAAAGCCGAATGAACACCGTTCATGTTTGCATCACTGCCACCATCTTCGTCTCTCCACGAGACTTCTGCAAGGCCCTTAATTCGTAATTCTTCAGCAGTCTTCAATAATGTGGCCAAATGGCACTGAAAAACAAAAAATATGTAGTAATTTGCTAATGTGGATTGTTGAAGTTGTTCGAGTACTTTGAAAAATAATATCTAGGTACTTACATGATCCACGTTTATTTCTCCTTTATACATAAATTCAACCAAACACTTTATGTCCACGTATTTAACGTCTTTCATAATTAAGATAGGATCTTTCTCTTCATACTGAGATAAAATTGTATCAAAATATGTACTGCATGCAGATAAAACTATTTTATGTGCCTTTATTGTTCGCCCCTCACAAGCCAGAGTTACATCGCAAAAGGCTTCCCGTTCCAATAATTGTGTAAACATAGTTTGTAAATTTGAATGATGGTATCTCCAACGTAAACAATACTGTTGAGGTAACATTTTGTAACCTCTAATTTAATTTTTCAGCACTCCCGAAACAAATGAGAATAATGAGGGTTTAAACCCAATAAAGAAACAAAACACTGCTGTCTTTCCGCGAACGTGAGTCACCTTTTTTATTTCCACGTTCAAAATAATCCAAAATAATCGATACACACTTCAGTTTTTAATATTTTCGAGCACTGTTTTTAAAATTACACTCACATAAACACATAATAAGACCACTTTTGCTGTCGAGTTCCGAAAACAACTATCAATCGGTTTTCTAAAAAATCGGAGAGGCGTACACAACGTTCACTCATTTGGAAATTTCCAACAAAAAATATGTCCCTATTACTTTTTTATGAATAAGTAAACCAATGGAGCCAATAGAAACCACGTAAGACCCCTATAAACCATGTATAGTTCGTAAATTGTACGAGCCAAGCCTTTAAGACAAATCAATATCCTTACGTCTTGAAAAATTCACTCATAAAAAGTCTTCGTAACTCTCGAGATATTTCTAAAATATAACTAAAGCAAACAGTAGTAATCATACGCGTTATAATTTCTGAAAACAACTATTATCTAAACAGGCGAACTAACGGCACCACCGACGAGAACGTAAGAATCAAAAACGGGGTCAAAAATTAAGTTGACTGCACTAAGGCCTTTCATATTTATTTTTATAAACTTAGGAATTTTTTAATCGTGTGAAAAGCACAAAAGAAAGAAACAGAAAATGTGCAAACTTGATCTCAAGAGTTCAATGAACGCATAACTCCCATACATTAATGATATTTGTTTACGTACCTACTACCATACAACATATAGTCTATTGCTTAAAATTTTTAAATAATACCTTCGCAATGTTTTTAACTTATGTTAAAAAAATGTCACATCAGTGGTAAAATTTTCCATTACTTTAGAAAACCATCATAATACAACGTGACCTCGATTTCTTATTTTTTGAATAAATATACGTATATAAGTTTGTAACAGTATACTAAAATAAGTACCGACTTTTTCAAGAAAAATATAAATACCGAACAATACACAGACACAAGGTAATTTAAATTAAGCAAGGTATTCAAATGAGTTGACAAACATCGGATAATATTAGGCATTAATTATGCAAAAGAAAAATGGCTGTTTCTTCCTTATTGCATTTTCCATTAAAATTTCCCAATATATACGTATTTTATGTATTTTTATTACTTGTTTTGCTCGAACTCGAAACCTCGAAAATGTTTTATTTTCTGTCAGACAAAGATAGAAAATTATCAAACATCCCAAGGAATTTTTTCATTTTTAGTATTGTCAACACTGAAAAGGAGTAGAATTAAAAGTCACTAAATACATGCGCGCATCATACACGTAAAAAAATAAACATTAAATAGACCGCTCTTATAGGTTAAGGATTTATTTAAAGTAATAAGTTCGTTTAAAACCAAAATATAATAATCATTTGTCCTAGTTTGTGATAATAATAATAATAATGTCAGATGATGAAGAAGTGGCTTATGTTAAGAAAACGAAAACTATCCATTACGGTTCTTTAGAAGATACCGAAAAAGCGAGGTTAGCTGAGTTAGAAATAAATGGTAGTACTAACGAAGATGATGCCTCCAAGAATTCTGTACAAAATTCGGCACAGATTAACATTTCCAATGGTTCGTTGGTATGTACATAAATGCTATTTAGGTTTAACGTTGCTATTTGTTCATACAGAATATATGGAATTGGAAGACAATATATCGAAAGAAAAGCAAGCTCTCTTGGAAGAATTCGAAAGAAGAAAAAAGGCCAGACAAATAAACGTATCAACGGATGATGCTGAAGTGAAGCGAAACTTAAGACAACTTGGGGAACCAATTTGCCTTTTTGGAGAAGGGCCAGCTGATCGAAGGAATAGACTAAGAGAAATTTTGTCTTGGTAAGTTATTTCTTTGATTACTAAACAAACATTTAATTAATGATAAAGTATAGGTGAAGATGCAATTATTAAACGAGAGGTTCAGGAAGAGAAAAAACTTCTTGAAAAGGATCAAGAAACAACATGGTATCATGAAGGACCAGAAACTTTAAGAATTGCAAGATTATGGATAGCAGAATATTCTTTGCCAAGGGCCAAGGAACGTCTAGAAGAAGCTAAACTCATGAAAGATTTACCACCTGCTACTAAAACAGCCCGTTGGCAAGAATTACAGAAAAAGTTGCAGAGCATAACTATACACAGCAGTCAAATTGGTGACACAAGACCTATATCATTCTGTCAGTTCAGTCCTAATTCAAAATTACTGGCCACAGCTTCATGGTAAATTCTTTGCTTTAATAATCTTACTACTGATCTTTACATATTGTTATATTTACAGGACTGGTGTATGTAAATTATGGTCTGTACCCGATTGTGAATTAAAGCAAACCCTCAAGGGGCACACATGTAACGTCGGTGCTATAGTATTTCACCCCCAAGCCACTTTAACCCAAGAAAAAAATGTCTGCAACATGGTAACATGTGCTTCAGATGGATCGGTGAAGTTATGGAACTTTGAAAGGTACTTTAATGAAGATTTCAACCTTTTTTAAAAGCATAACTGGCTATCTTTTTAATAGTGATGAACCAATAGCGGATATTGAGGGTCATATGCCTCATAGAGTGTCAAGGGTCGCATTCCATCCTTCTGGGAGATTTTTAGGCACATGCTGTTTTGATTGCTCATGGAGACTTTGGGATCTTCAACAGTGCACTGAAGTGCTGCATCAAGAAGGTCACGTTAAACCAGTGTATTGCATCAGTTTCCAAGTTGATGGGTCTGTGTGTGCAACAGGGTACAAATTGTGTTTTTTAACGAAATTTATCCTATTTAACTTACTTTCCCTAGGGGTCTTGATTCTTTTGGTCGTGTTTGGGATCTACGTACAGGACGTTGTATAATGTTTATGGAGGGTCATTTAAAGTCAATTTATGGCATTGATTTTTCTCCGAATGGATATCACATTGCTACAGCAAGTGAAGACAATACTTGCAAAATTTGGGACTTGCGGAAGAGAAACCTTTTGTACACAATTCCTGCTCATACTAATCTGATATCGGATGTGAAATTCCAAAAAGGGGCCGGTGATTACTTAGTAACTGCTTCATACGATAACACTGTGAAAATATGGACGAGCAGGACGTGGCAACCTTTAAAGACGCTTTCAGGACACGACGGAAAAGTTATGAGCGTCGACATTTCGTCTGATGATCAATTCATCGCAACTAGTTCGTATGATAGGACGTTTAAGTTTTGGGCACCCGAGTGATTAATTAATTACAATGTAATAATTATTATTAACTCGAGTATGAAGTTGATTACTGTGGATAATCGTAATTAGTGTTTTTTATATAAAAATAAAATATGTATAAGAAATAATTAATATAAATTTATGGAATACGTTCCCTCTATTTACCACTAAATATAAGGCAAAGAAACGATGAATTCTATGTTTAATTATAGTCCCAAGTAACAAATTACAAAAATGTAAATTTATCAAATTTAGCAGTTCTGCTTCCGTCAACATGAAAATATTTTAATGCAGGTAGTTAATAAATAAAGTGGCAAAAAATATGAGGAAGTTGTAATTACTAAAATAGTAACTGAAGACTAGTACGTGGAAACCAACGATATCGATTAACATTTTAAATAGATAAGTATAATTAATGAGCAAGTTCGTTCACATTTTCAATTTCTTAGGTTTTTGTTATCTTTAATGAAAAATAGTAAGAACAAATTACCAAAATATTGCGAAGGTTGGCCGATTTTCTAGAAAAAAATTGTTAAAACAGAAAATGCCTTTTCTCGCTGTAGAAAAAAGTCAAGAAAAAACATTCAAAACTTATTAAACCTTCCTTTGTGTTTTACTTTTACTTGTAGGTATTCCAGTATTAAAAAAAAAGGATTTTTGATGGACATTTTAAAACTTTTTTATCACTTGAAGTACTTTGATAAGCAATTAAAGGGCTCTAAAATATATCAATGGCTTTAAAACGTACCAATTAGTAAATATGCAATCTCAATAGAACTCTTCGAATAGTAAAAAGAAGTCGCACTCTTTACTAACGAACGTAGAAGAATGCCAACACCTTCACTTTGATATTCGGAAAGTAATTAGGTTAGCGCAAAAAAAAAAACTTCTTTTGGTTTTATATATCTCGCATGAAAGTATTATTTTATCATGACTTAAGAATGCTCTAAAAAAAATCCAAATGAGGTACGAACGAAAAATATACTCACTCTGAGTAGAAAGAATGTAAGTAAAACTCAAGATAGGTATTATCACAGACTCCAAGTGGGCCTCGAAGAATATCCGGACTGTAGACTCTGTATTGAGGAAGATAAGACACCGTTTCAAATCATCTACTAATGCTCTGCGCTAGCGGAAATTACGAGGTAAAATGCAGATCTTTCTACATTGAAAAGGGATCTTTGGGATACTTTACTCGGTATCTAAGAGACGCTAAAAGGTTTCCCACGCATATAGAAGGACTAAGAGTGCCCCAACTATTATCATTTAATAATAATAATAATAATCCTTACCTATATATTTTTTCTTAATTTTCCACTTCTTGTAACGACATCCTTCAATCGCCCTATTAATAATAAAAATATTAAATAATAGTAAATAATTACAAAGTCAATATGAAAATGTATTTATTATGTGCAAATGACAAATGGAAAAAACGAAATATATCAAAGTACAAGTTAATTATTAACAACGTCTTTCCCAGTGACACGTACAAGTCGAAATTTCACTTTTTCATCTTTTTTCGTTCTATATTTGACACAAACAACAGGGCTAATCGTAAACAGTTATCATTATAATGAGGTATAATGGCGTTTCATTATTATTATTATNCGATAGATTGGTACATAACGCCTCCTCACACATGACCTTTAACCTTTCTAAAGCATACTAAAGAAAAAAATACCATTAAAAAAATATAATGCGTGAAAAATTGTAAACTTGAATCAATAAAGAATATGAAAAACATAACCGAAAAGAAAGCATTCAACTTTTTGGCCTGATTTAATACATCTACATTATTTAGAGTGATATTTTTTTTGACTAATTTTTTGTTTTTAAATTCGATATGAATTACATTCGACGCATGTATTAAAAAGTTTCTCTATAATTTAATTAGAAGTCGTTCAAGGATTTTAAAAACCCTCAAAGGAAATAAGAGTTTTTGTCTATTTGTATAGCTTCCAAAGCAACAAAGAAACGTTTGGCAAACAGGCAATTATGAGCAAGGCGGGTACGGGATTATCGTTATCATTATTATTATTATTTATTCGTTTGTCGAATGAAAAAAGCACAAATCAAAAACCTATGGTTATTAATTACTATATCATGCGAAGAAAAAACATATGGTATGTATTTGTTTTGAACACCCCAAATGGTCTAGTACACAAAAATGGGGTAAATTACAATATTTTTATCATACAGTTTTCTTCTTGGCATGTTACATACAATATAAAAAGTTTGTTGTATTTTCTTCTTTTGGTACTATTGTTAACGTTAAGGAAAACACCAGACAAAGAATAAAAAGAGGTCAACACACTGCCAGTTTGTGTCATATATGTAGAAAGGGTCATACCTGATGCATATCGTATCTGTTCTGTTCTGTTTCTTCCCTATTTTATTTTTTTGATGGTAACTGTATTAATACAATAACGTCGAAAACACAAAAAATAAACGCTTAAAACCTTATGCACATCAACAAAGCTAAGATACAGGCAGTAATTTGTTAAGGAATTGTCCTGCTATGTCTTAAGTAATTAATTATGAATTGTTTTCAAATTTCTAAAAATACTTCTGGTTGGTATTTATTTTTGAGTTACAGTCGAATTGCAACTAAACCAAAAAAAAAAATGTGTTTACAAAATCTAATTTTATAAAAAAACATTTTTGTTGCAGCATCTTTTTAAAAACCGCCAGAAAAAAAAATCATTTTTGTCCCGAACAGTAAAGATAAAGTAGACAATTAGTTTATGTGCTACTTGTTAAAGAAATAAATAAAAAAAAAACGAAACCTATGAACGATTTAACATTTTACCATCCACATATTCATGGATGTAATTAATTATTAATTTAACGCTACAAACAGTTCGAATTTTTACCAAAAATACATTTCTCTTAAGCTACTTTCCTTTCTTATTTGGGAAATAATTAGACGACTTTTGCCTCATTGCCAAAGTACGTTAACTACATTGAAAAAAAAAACAAATTTTTAAAATAATTTATTTCGTCATACGCCATGAATGGAAATTATATTAAAAACAAAAAAACACCAGAAATAAGAGTTTTTGTCTATTTGTATAGCTTCCAAAGCAACAAAGAAACGTTTGGCAAACAGGCAATTATGAGCAAGGCGGGTACGGGGTAATTTAGGAGGAACACCGAAAGCGCACATACGTATGTCTGCTGTCTTAAACAAACATAAACGAGATCTAATCTTAATTTAAAAAAAAAATCAATAATCGTTATCATCACTCTTCAACTTCAATAATAATAATCAACTCGAAATCAATTTAGCAGCAGTACCTACCAACTGTTTACAGTAGTAGCGAATAATAATTACAATTGTAAAAACGATGTTGTGAAGCATTATCATTAATTACAAGAAGCTCACGGTTTTTTTTGTTTAATTCTTATTTACAATACATCGAAACACGAAAAATGGAAGAAGAGGAAACGTGACAACTACATAATAAAAAAAAGGGCTGAGTCTACGCCCGCGTACACACGAACCGTATCACCAACTCGGGTATGCAATGTAACCCAACCAGTGTTGCCAACGCGAACCAAAACCACCGCTTTACAGAAAAAATTAGAAATGGTTATACTAAACACAATTATTATTGTTATAGTAGACTCATAAACATTTTGAAAAAAAAAATGATTTCATTTAGCTAATTATTTGTCACAAGTAAAAAACGATTTTGAATACTCAATGATTTATACAACATTACGTTCTTTCTTAATCATTTATTTAAATAGTAATCAGAGAAATCATTAATAATTCCCATTCAACCAAAAATGATAAGAAATTAGTATTGATCCGATCATAAATATCTGTTGTCTCTTGTTTCTGCTCTATCTGCCACGGTAGGCACTATATCATATATTTCTTATTTTTGTAAGGTAAAAAATTCGTTCGTTAAACGTATTTATGGTAATTTTTCGGACGAAATAAGTTATTCAATTGTCTATCATTATATAAAAAAAGAGAAACAAAATCGTCTTCTTTTTCTTTAATATGTAGTGAAGAAATTTACCTGAGATTGGCAACACTGTTTTCGTCGTTCCACACGCCGACTCTTCTCCTGTCTCCTTCCTTCTCTCATCATCCCTTTCAGCGCTTCCTCGACTACACGTTAAAAGAAAGTCTCGAAATTCGCTCTTGTTCGGCCGTTCTTCAAATTTTAATTTATTTAAAATCGTATTATCATAATAATAATAATAATATATTATATTATTATTATCCTATGCTTGCATTTAGTATGTATTATCAACTCCTAGAGATCATCGACTTAAAAACGAAACAGAGGATGACGACGCGTTCCCCTTAGGAACAACAAGTGTGGTTATTATACACATAACACATTTACATATACATTATCACTAACTAATCAATTAATTATTAATAACTATCTATCGTAACTAGCCCCTAACACTACCTACACATAAAATCTTATCACAATATTTTTTTCTTTCTTGATTCCCGACGATAGGCGAGCGAGGGGGCGGGCCATTTCGGATCAGTTCCATTCCATACACAAAAAAACACACGCACACATAGCGAAAAACAAATAAAAACGATCATTAATCAATTACAGTATTTACACGAACAAACGAAATAGTGTATAATGAATCAATCATTATTCGTCATTAGTTATTTATCAATATTATTATTAGTTTGTCTTCAACTTTTGATAATAACATAACCTCCCTAAATAGAATTAAAAAAAAAAAAAAACGATCGATACTATTTAGTTCCAACAATATGCTCTCGATATTGAGCGAGGTCGAAGTATTGTTATTTTAATTACTAGGATCCAGGGATGATGTGTAACTTACGACAAAAGAAAGAGGACACATAGGGCGGGGCAATAAACAGCAACAATCGCTACGACAATGGCATAGGTAGCCATTGCAATTTTAACGTCACCATATCAATGACGTGAGCGGTTACTAAGTTTTGTTATTGTTACTCCAAGAACTCCTACGATAGATTTTCTGGTGGTGGAACGCACAACGCGAAACAAAAAAAAAAAAAGGAAAAAAGAAAGACGACGACGAAGACAAGACGACGACTATGACAACGATCACTCACTAATCTGTCTATTGTGTCGATCAAGTGTTACTGCTTCAGCTCTGTTTAACGCGCTTGCGTGGTGGACCGATGGGCGGGATCTGTTGCGTAGCTAGCGCGCGAAATGCTTCAGCTATGAGATGCGGATGTGTCTGGATCATCGACTTCCACCCGGGTGTGTCCATCACGTCCGTCGCGTGGCTAGAAGACAAAACATTACTTTTGCATAATTATGATTGATCCTTCGACTTAATTGTAAGTATTTTCAACACAAAGTAATTAAACTGGATAATAATTGATACTATCTAGCGTTTATTTACGTAGCAAAGTGGTTACTAGGGGAGAATTAAATCAAATAATCTAGCTATTTTACAAAATATCTAGTGAGAGTTGGATAAAGTAATAAAACACAAAAAAAGGGGTAGATGAAGAAGAAGGAGTTATTTGTATAGTCGAAATTCCAATGAAGTTCAAAAAGGAAGACACATTACTTAGCAAAATCAGTAAAAATTATGATTGAAATAATTTTTTTTATTTTTTTTTTGTTTTTTCTAGGTAATGTCTTCCTCTTTTGGGTTCATTCAACGTTCGACTATATTCCCTATGTCTATGATTATTAGTTCAACTAATCCCAACTAGCAATTATGAAAAATATCTAAATAAAATATTTAATCTATCAAATTATCTACATAATTTAATTAATATACATAATATCCTTAATCACATTCAATATAATAAATATTATATGTATATAAAAGAAATTATGAGTGCTGTCAGCACAGGGCCATGTAGTATTACGTAGTTAGTATCAGCAATGTCTTATGCTGAAGTGTACGATGTGTTGCATACCTATTTCAAACAATTTTTAACGCAAAGAAAGTGATTAAACAATTTACTCACAAAAGTGAATTTCGACCACTCGAAGGAATGGTGCTAACACAGTTTCGAGCTCATAATGACTGAAAGGGGGGAAGAACTAGTACATATTAGGAAATGTTTTTGGTTATTAACAGCTTAAGTTGTGGTTTTGAAAATTGAAAAATGTCGATTGTGGCTTTGTCTATTACATTTAATTTTTGTGACTCAAACTTCTATCTTTCGTATTCCACCCAAAAAGTATACTACCAAGACAAGCAAGGGAATTAGATGTGTCAGAAATATTCAGATTGAGAAATTACTAAATTTCCCTAGCCCGAAAATACTTCATTAAAAAAACAGAATTTTTAACAACACTATTGATTTTTTTAACCTTACATAACTTTTCCATAAATACGAGTATCATTTTAATTTGAAAACTAACTACTTTTACACTACATATTATATACATTTGATTAGGTTGAGATATAATTAATAAATAAATAAACTCCGAAATAATTTAAAGCACATTACTAAAACATATGTCGAAATAGATACTTACGTATTAATAAAGTCTATCGCTTGAGCTTTCAGTTGGTCGGCACTGTGCAAATCCGCAAGTATCAAAATCTCAGCAGCATTCTCTATCGATAGATTGGTACATAACGCCTCCTCACACATGACCTTTAACCTTTCTAAAGCATACTAAAGAAAAAAATACCATTAAAAAAATATAATGCGTGAAAAATTGTAAACTTGAATCAATAAAGAATATGAAAAACATAACCGAAAAGAAAGCATTCAACTTTTTGGCCTGATTTAATACATCTACATTATTTAGAGTGATATTTTTTTTGACTAATTTTTTGTTTTTAAATTCGATATGAATTACATTCGACGCATGTATTAAAAAGTTTCTCTATAATTTAATTAGAAGTCGTTCAAGGATTTTAAAAACCCTCAAAGTATGAAAAATCCATTTATTTTTAACCACATCATTCATTTGTACATTAAGTGAATAGATTTTGTTCAATTTGCTAATAATTACGATAAGCATTTCACCTTATTTTAAGAAAAATCAAATGTATAATTCGATCTAAACAACTACGGGAATTGTATAGTTGATAAAGTGATTTTTGTCTGAGGCCCCACAAAGAGTTCATGTTGATGTTAATTCAAAGATTTGACATCAAGTCATTAGTGAAACGTTTTCCTTATCACTTCAAAACTAATGAATTTGATACAGGGGTGAAAACTGAGAAGGCAGAGCTCGATTTTCAGAAAATAATGTGCTGACATGTTTAGACCATGAACGAATGGAGACGCTTAATGCTTATATTGTGCCACAGCCGCCATTTTTTTTTTTGATGCCAAACGTTGGAAGTGTCACTAGGTCTGTTTTTGCTTTTGAATGACTTGTTAGTGAAATACAAATATTGATACAATATTAATACATTGCATAGCATACGGTTGCGGAAGTTTTAGTAGCAAATAGGAACTTGGATTACATTTCACAGGTAAATTATTGAAATACTCTTGTTACATAAACTGGAAAATATCTCTTCACCATTTGAAACGTGCTTTCAATTTTTTTAAAGTAACAAGGCAATTAAAATCTTCATTAACGTAAATGCCAAGTGATTTCCCAGTGGCGTCGGCAAATATATTTCAATAATGCAGTGTTTTTTGTTACTAAATTGACTACATTTCAAGAGAATGCTATGTAACATTATTCTATTTGGAGTAGTAATCTCAATTCCACAAATATCATGCACAATATCTAGTTCTCTCTGGAAATGTAAATTCACTGAGTAAATCGATCCCCATTTTTGCACAAGCAGTTACGACGCTACGAGTCTCCTCACTTTCTTGGTCTAAGCCTGTTTAAACTAAATTGGGTATTGGTTATTGTTCCACTTTATTCCTATTTAATCTTTCGGTTAATTGGGACATGGATTTTTGGTTATCACTGTTTAGGTCAGTAAAAAAAAAACTTTTGGGTGTTTCATTCCCACCAGCCAGTAATGCTGGTGGACGGGCAGTCCCTCCGGACTATGCCGGAAGGTAGGGCGGAAGGGCTTCTTCAGCCTGCTTTCAGGAATCGTGGGAATGGGTGGGTGGTGGTTCGGGTGAGAAAGTTGAGACAGACGAAATGAAGACAGAAGAGAATGAAGGATTATCTGTGGAATATTACTGCCCCAGCATTTGCCTAAGTGATCAAAGAAAACCACAAAAAACTTGGCCTAAGGCAGACAGACTCGAAATCGAATCGGCGTCCTCACAAATGCTAAACAATGGTCTGACCTTCTAGACTATGCCGCTCGGTATGGTACCACCTTATAAATAAACTTTTGGATGTTTCATTCCCAACAGCCACTCATGCTGGTGAGCGAGCAGTCCCTCCGGATTACGCCGGAAGTAGGGAAGGAATGCCCTCTTCAGCCTCCTTTCAGGAATCGTGGAAATGGGTGAGTGGTGGTTAAGTTGAGAAAGGTTAGACGGACGAAATGAAGACAGAAGAGAATAAAAGATTATCAAGGGAATAATATTGTCGCAGCGTTTTCTCAATTGTAACTGATTCAAGGAAACCACACAGAAATTTGCCTGGTATGGTACCATTGAAGACTATGGGTACTTTATAGATTGAGGCATAATGAACTCTCCCATTTTGGCAGCCCAAAGCTAGGGATAGGCTGGGGATGGAACAGTGACTGTGTCGTTAGAAAGTTGAGTTCATGCGACATGCTGTATATCGTTGGAAGTAAACAGCATAACCTGATCGGAAGAGTATTGGGTTTATGCTGTTGAGTTCATTAGAAATGGCGATTTGACGATAGCGACAAAGCATGTGCAGAGGATCGTGCTACTGTAACGATGACCTATAATCGGTATTGTGCACTTCTACATAACTTTCTCTAGCCTAAATTAGGTGTTTTTTTTTTCGATGGACGTGGACAAGAACATGCCCGGTTTCAGCAGAATGNGCCCCGAGTGACTATTTTCTGTTCCCTAATCTCAAAAAATGGCTTGGCGGTAAGAGATTTGCGGACAATGAAGAAGTAATCGAAGCTGTAAATGGTTATTTTGAGGAGCTTGACGAATCAGTCTATAGAGATGGCATTAATAGACTGGAACACCGCTATGAGAAATGTATCAGCCTTGGAGGAGATTATGTTGAGAAATAAAAAAAAAAAAATTTTAAAAACCTTGTTTTTCTTGGTCAGGCCGGAAACTTATCAATCCACCCTCGTATTTTATGAAGTCCTATTACACCACATAAGAAAAAAAAAATGAATTGATACAACCATTGGACAAATTCCAACGTACCTAAATTTTGCCAAATTTCTAAAATAGCTCCCTACTGTGAAAATAAATCGTCTCATTTACAGTAAAAACAAACTAATTTTTTATTCCAATTTTTTTATAGCCAACAGTATGATATACAAATTTACAACAGAATTTTTTAAGAACAAAATTCTCACTTAAACAGATTTATTGAAACATAGAACTACTTATTTCAAATAAAACCATTTAACTGAATATATCTACTAACCAAATACCAATTAAATCTGGAAACATTGATTGGGGAACTACCGAACAATTTTGGAACTTCGGATTAGGTACCACTACTAATTATTCTAAAAAAATCTTGTTTTTCAGATAATCTTTTAATGCAACACAAACATACTTTTCTAAAAGAAAGAAATATATCATTTAGCCCTATCACCTGTTGTGAAACACCCTGTAAGTATAGAAACATCTAATTGTGAGTTATCGATTAAAAACAAATTATTTGTAAGTTACACAAATTTTCATTTCCTGTTTGCACAAGAAAACTTTTAGGCAGAATGTATACTATAAGAAAAATTAACATTTTTTTTATTCTTCGTAATCACTACGCGGAGGTATTGTTATCTTTGAGGCAATAAAGTGTTTTGAATAAAAGACTTACTTTCACTTTCACCATAACTTTCACAGGAAGAAACGTTTTTAAGCCATGTGCTACAAGAAACCAAGCATTTTATAACACACAATTCGATAATGGTCTGATATAGTATTTGGTTAAGTTTGTGTCGCTTTTTACATTTTAATGACCTTTTTTCAATTCATGGCAAAGATCATTACGAACAAATTACAAACACTTCCCATAGATGCACAAATAATAAATCATTAACTTATTATATTATACAAATGACAAAAAATTCTTTAAAAAAGTGTATATTTTCTACAGTAAATTAATTTTTTTGTCAATGAAAATTAAAAAAAGGTTAAAATGAAAAATAAAAATGTTAGTGCCACTTGGCTTATGTCCTTGGATGTCCTCCTATACAATCGTTCAAAAGTCTGGTTTTATATCATAATTTACAGGGCGAGTACAAAAAAATATTACATACCTGCCAAGATGGCCTTATGCGCTTGAAATTCTCGTCCAGCCACCGAAAGAGTTACATCACTAAATTTTTGGTTTTCAAAAAGGAGTCCTAGGTCGTCCGAGAGACGACACTCAGGTACTTTGAACTGTATTGTATTCGACTGGCCCGAAATATTCACGCTATCAGCTACTACACTAACCTAAAAGCAAAAAAAGGAATAAAATACAATACATTAACAAGAACAAATATAAACTAGTTAAACCCGTTTAAACTAGACTCGTCACTCATGTCTATTTATTGGAATCGATTATGTTTAGAGATCACATGTCTCAAACATCTGCAATAAATCAATCGATCGAGCAAAAATATATTAAATGTTACACAAGTAAATAAAATCAATCAAACATGTGTATTTGATAAAAAACGCTTATTGCGAATTGAGTCCAGTTGACCTCTAGGGCAAGCTGTTACACAACGTTTTATCGTATTAATTTTGATTAATCTGGAAATAAAGGGAGGGGGGGTAGAGTAATCTATGTCCTCGAACACAAAAAAACCATCTTGATATTATTAAGTCCTTACTTAATTAACAAAAAACACATGAGGACCTGACTAAATTAAATTTTCATTTACGACTAGTACAAATTTAAAATTTAGAGGAAAATTTATAACAAATATATACAATTCTGCCAGCTAGGTATTGTGGCAAAGTGGTAGCGTCTTTAATGTTTCACGTTTTTTATTAAAGAGTATCTGATATCTGATAACTAAATAACACTATTGCAAAATATTCAAATCATGTAACTTTCATTATGCCTCTCTAAATAAAATACCGCATTTAGGGAAAACCAGAACAACCTCCATCTCTATCTGGGTCTACCTCTACTTCTCTTGGTTCCTATTTCTGCTTCTAATATGTTTCTAAGTAGCCCTGAAAAGGTGTCTTCTATCAATCTATCTGGCCTATTTCTTATTGACTTCCAAAACGCCTTCTGTTCTATACTTTTTAATACCCCCTCCTTTTTTCACACCCATATAGAGTGATGATGTATGTTTGCATATGCAACCAACTATACACCCAAATTTGATGGTTACAGCATATGATTAGAATGTAGAATATAAAATCCCTTCGTAACCCAGCGTTTGGTTACGTCGCTGACAATGAGTATATTATTAATTATTATTCACTATTAGCACCTTATGATTACATTCAGATAATACAGAATTAATTTAAACCACTGTTATGCTGTAACAGTTACTATAGAGCCTTGAATTTCAACTTCCGTGATAAGTTGACATCAACTTTGTTATTTTAAACAGTATCATTTATACATCGACATATTTTTAACTGATTTGGCACATTATAGTATGTTTATAATTAAGTAAGTGTTTATATACTGTGTTTCGAAATTATTCTGGGAAAAATATATCAGTCTTCCCATTAGTGAGCGAATGTAAATTTTCGTTCGTAAAAGTTCTTCGTACATTCCAGGATGCGATAGAGTCGACAAAAATTAAACAGTTTCATTTATTTTTATATTTTTTTTTTAGAATTATAAATAAGTAGGAGATATCATTTCACCTTTCCAGTGAAATTTACAAGACACTCTATCTGTGTGAATTGCCTCAGATTTTTGTCATTATTCAAAGAATTTTTAAAAAACTATAAAATCTACGATAATGGTGATAGTTCTATTTAACTGTCTCATTTTGGTAACGCTAAATAATTAAAAATATTTCACATAAACCTAAAATTTCGTGTCCCTTGTTCCTGAACCTTTCAAATGGCATACAATTTAATACGTAAATTTTCTTTTTAAATAATTCAACTTCTTTCAAAAATGTGAATTAAAATTGTAATAAAGTGACTACGTAATAAGAAGGGAAACTAAATGGGGGAAGATGGTGGAAGAAGTACGAAAAAAAGTAGTAAATTATAAGAGGAAAGTTAGAAAATCTATAAGAGGACATAAGAAAGGAAATTTGAAGGATTTTAAATATTGGAAGAAAAACAGAAATGAAGAAGATAGAAAGCGTTTGGTGGTATGAAAATAAAGGAAGAACAAATAGAAGAATTGAAAAAAAAAATAGTAAAGAATTTTGGAAAAATGGTGAGAGTAAGAAGTAATGAGATAATAAGAAGAAAAGATTTAAGGAGTATTCAAAAATTTATATATGCAACAGGGTTAAAGGATTTATTATAGGAGTCATATAGGAACTAGTTATGGCGCAAAAATATTAACAAGGTTCAGAAAGGGAAATTAATGTAAGGGATGCAAGTACTAGACGAAAGACGAAGAAATAAAATGCAGAATGTGTGGAATAGAAGAGGAAACATAGGAGAGGATGCATGTAATGAGAGAGTGTATAGAAAACTATGTAACAGAAATGTAGAAAAATCCTACTGAAAAAATAAAAAAAAGTATATAATATATAAAATAAAAAAAGGCATATAAAAGGAGAGAAATGTTCATTTAAGTTAGATAGACGATCAACATGTGTTTAAGGTACGTAAATTTCAGACATGGGCAATTTTGTAAAAAAAAAACA